CTAGAGTGGATAGGAAGCAATCAAGCAAGCACGTAAGGAGGTCAGCAGCCAACACTGCCAGGAGGAACCGTCATGCATGGCAGAACAGAAATGCCAACCCCTTCACTTCCCACTAGAGGAAGAGGAGGAATCAGCTGCTGTGTTAAGCTTCTACAGCATAGGGGAAGATGGGAGATGTCACCCCACAGCAATATGCTGCAGACTCAGCAGGTGTTGACATCTAGATTAACCTTGGACTGCTGTGAGCACAACTCCTCTGGAAGTGCCGACCTGTTCTCATTTCCATGGCATCAAATACTGCCTTTCAGTCAAAGCCGCTGGCATCTCGGAGATATACATATATATAAGTTGTTCAACACCCTTTGGTGCCATGACACATCAGTCACAGCAATATTGGACTTGGAAAGCAAACCCTCTGGTTTGAAAGAGTGACAAAGTTTGTGTCCAGTGTGGAGGCCTTGTTTTTACTTGCTGTGTACGTTTTGTTTTCACTTACTGTTGAGTTTGAAATTTTACACACCAAAATAATAATTAACAGTACACCCCTTTACAAAATTAGCTATACAGAGTGAAAAAATAGGCTTTTAAAATACCCAATATTTTAAAATTTGATGCCAAAGGGTTGTGGCCAGGTTTAGGATGTGACAAGCTGGCAGTGAGGCTCAGAAAGCAGGGTCTTATTAGAATGCACACAGAGAGCTTGTACCCAGTCCCCGAGGCTTTCAGGTACTGCCCTTCATTTGCTGACCTGTCAGTCAAATCATCAGAGAGCACTGCTGCAGGGACATGGCAAACTTGGCTGGGACTTTTAACCCAACAATGCTTGCCCTAATTCATATTACTCTGGCTGCTCCTGGTGCTTATCAGGTTCATTCATATGGGGCCAACATCAAAAGGTAAATTCTGTATCAAATGTACAACTTAACCCTTAAAGTGGGTGTATTATGCTCATTTCCAGCTCCGTATTTTTATTCTGAAACTCCAGAGAGATGTTCTGCATAATTCATAGTTTTAAAAAAAATCCTTGTTTATCTTATGATTGCTGTGGCTGCAGTTCCTCATTTTGTTCACTGTCTAACACAAGCTCCTTTCCTTTTAAGCCTATCCTCGTTTTAAACTAATTTAAACTTTTTTTTTTTTTTATCTTTTCACCATATTTCACCAAAATTTTATATTGGTAAATTGCCTGTCTACAAACATTGCACCGACATAACAAAAAAAGGAGATCCACACAGCAATTTAGTCAAAAACTATTGAAAAGTGTATTAAAGATGAACCGAATAGAGCAGCTGATAACCCAAAACAGCTTGTTGCTTGAACTGGTTACAAAACTAGTGATAACTCCAAAGCATTCAATGCAAAGAAAATGTAAACCAAGCCTTTCAAGAGAGAGAGAACTACTGGGGGAGGAAACTGACATACGCAAACTCCTAAGTATGAAAACCTATTGATCGGGACCTGAAAAAGTGAAAGCAAGAGAAGCAAAATTAAGAGTAACGTCTGAGGCATTGTTTATAGCAACATCATTTAAATATGACATTGGACACACCTGCATTGTTAATTGTTTTGTCAGAGCTTGACAGCTGCTGTTATTTCTGATAGCTGGTGTAATAGTTCTTGTGACTTCTTTTATATTTACAGATACAGATACCTTTAATTAAATTCATAACCTGTTAGAATGTGGCAAGATATAGAAAATAGTGAAAGGCAGCACATTTAAACATAATAATAACAAATGAATACATGTGAAGTTTTGTTCACACAGTCCTCCTCCTGTTTGGTTTATGTATTCCAGCTGTGGACCATGACGCTTTAAACACTGAAGGTAAAAAACACAGGTAACACCTACTGTATAAGCTCCTCCAACAAGCCTCCTCTTCCCTCTGTCTTGTGTCCTCCAGATGCATTTTAGGAACAGAGACATCCTTCAGCACTGAGACTGATTTCTGGGTCACGGGCAGCAGGATGGAGGACAGAGTAGACAAGGGAGCACAAATTAGAGAAATGAGAAAACACCTACCATGAGGCCTGGGGCTGTCACAATATGTTGTACAGTGATATACTTTGGCTGCTCTAACACCTCAGAGATGATTCAAACAAATTAGTCAGCACAATATCAAATCAGAACAATTTCCTTGTGGTGTTGTCGTCGCAACACCGTTGCAATCCAGCATTTTGAAGTCAAGTTTGAATCTGGTGAACTTGTTACATTTGTTTTGCATCACACCTTTAAGACCACTGACAGGTGAAATGATTTACTATCACAGACCGCTTTATTAGTTACACCTGGCTAGTACCAGACTGGACACAGATTCTTTGTTGCAAAGATTCAACAAGGTGCTAGAAACATTCTTCAGAGATTTTAGTCTGTATGGACAAAATAGCATAAACGATTCTTTATTGTCATTCTTTATGAAAGAAAAATGAATGAAGAATAAAAGATAGTTACCTAGATCTTGCGGTTGATGTAGATTTGTCAGGAGCACATCTATGTATACAACACATTGTATAGGTGCGCTATGGAGTTGAGATCTGATGACTGTGGAAGCCATTTGCATGTGGAGAACTCACTGTTATGTTCAACAAAACAGCACAATATCCTACTGAAAGCAGCCATCAGTATACTGACAGAGTGTGGTCTTTCACTGCTGTAGCCCACCTGCTTCAAGGTTCAATGTGTTGTGTGTTCAGAGATGCTGTTGCGCATACCTTGGTTGTAATGAGTGGTTATTTGGGTTACCGTTGTCTTCCTTTCAGCTTAAAGAGGTCTGGACATCATTCTCGGAACTCTCGCTTAAACCAGGCTTTGTCACCCAGAGACAGTGGATATTTTCTTTTTCTGTAAACCCTTGAGATGGTTGTGCAGGAAAATTCCAGCCATTCAACAGTTTCTGAAATGCTCTGTGTGGCATCACAAACACGCCACATTCAAAGTCGCTTAAATCTCCTTTCATCCCCCGTTTTGATCCTTTGTTTGAACTCCAGCAGTCATTTGTCCATGTCTACGTGCCTAAATGCACTGAGGTGCTGCCATGTGACTGGCTGATTAGATGTTTGCTTTATTGAGCAGTTCAGCAGTGTATCTAATGAAAAGGCTGGTGAAGTTATCCCCTGAGAATCACACGAGAGGAGGGAACAAAACAAGTCCATCAAACTACAAAGACGTGTAGTACAGCACGCTTACATAAAATAGCTAATAATGAGACGGTGTGGATGTGGGTTTAAAATAAAGATTACTTTATTGATTCATCTCAAAAAGACTAATTCAAAAATACATTATGTTTCAATACATGTGATTACAGGTTACTGTATAGGCAAAAAAAATCAGGAATCTAGTATCTGAAATTATTAGAATAAGTAATTTTAAGTTTGAGTAAATTATTGCAAACAGTATAAATGCTGCATACTTCTCAGTTGAGTTCATTACACGCAACTTTGTGTCGAAGACATGGCAGTTGTCTAGAGGAGGACAATCATAAAACATGGCAACTAATGACATGCTGGTTGAGATGAATTGTAATTCTTCCATCATTTCATCACCACTGCTCCTGAGCAAAAGCCATGTAAATACTAATTACATATATTTACTAATTAACCCATACACTGTGAATGAAATGTAATCACTCCACAGTGGAGAACATGAATATCAGCTGGCAACACTGAATTAATATTCTCTGCTATGCGTAAAATCCATAGTGGAAGTCACACAACCTGTTGTCAGAGCAACTCTGAGAAAGAACAATATTTCAGATGGGGTTGTCGGTCAGTTCGGACAAAAATGGAAAACAATGTAGATTCTGTCCTTCTGCTTGAGGATGAATAAAAGATGGCAAAACTAATATATTTTCCTAAACCAATACAGCACATTGCAATGAAAGTGGGTGGTGTAGCTCCAGTAACTGAATTTTAAAGTAGAACAATGTTTCTTGTGAGGAGATGCTGGTGACCCCATTTTTGCCAAGTGGGAATAACAGTGTTTATGATCTCCTGTGAAACGCACAATAATCTAAGCAGCTCTCGACCTAATCCACTGGCAGTTTTCACCATTAAATGCCAAAGCAGCAGAAAAAGTGTTTTTGGCACATTTTAGTTGTTTGTCTCAGTCATATAAAGAAACAGGCTCTTAAAGGCATACGATTCTGTATTTTTCAGTTAGCCCTTAACCTATCTGGTTTCAAACAATTTGTATCTTATAAAATATGTGAAAGATGAAAAAATCAGCCAGTTGCCTAAAGTTCATAAAAATTCAAGCTTTTAAATAACAGTTGAAAAAAAAATGGAGTGTCGTTATTCCCAGTTTTACCCCAAGGTATGCTATGTCCCAAATAAATCAAGACACAGTCATTAAGAAGTGCATCTATGTGGCCTTCAGCTCATCATTTTATTGGTGTTTGTATTGGCATCAAGATGAAGATGTACCTGAAGCTACTGAAGAGAAGTGTCTGTAAATGTCTCATGTCACTGATGCAGATCTTTTGAAAGCAGGAAAAAAGACGTAATCTGGTTTGCAGAAGGCTGTTTTAAATTCATCATAATTTCTAATATTACGAAATGGTGACTTTCAGAGACCTTTCATGATCTCAAAATAATCCGATCGCATGGAGAATTTTCTGTAACATATGGCAATGTTATACAACAACACAAACAGGACATATTTTACCAACATCAAGGTATTTTTAAATATAAATACAAGGTATATTGTTTGGTAATGATGCAGCTCTTAGGCTCTGGGGCTTTGTGTTTCACGATGTGTGTCCTTGCATTAAAGAGGGCATTCGTGTCAGTGTTACATTTGTTTTTTATATATGTATAATCCACTGGAGAAACAAATTCCATAAAGTGTTCTTTTATTTTGGACTATTTCGTGGTTGGTCAGTCATTGACTGTCAGGTCGAATTCGGTGTCTGATTGGTTAGAGAAGGAAAAATTTCCTGTTGAATGAAATGCGTAAAGCCCCGCCCATCCAGCCTAGCAAGACCAACGGAATTGAGTTAGCGAAAACTTCTTAGCTCTGATGCGGAAAGAGCTTGTAAACATTTTGGAAAGGTGATTCATTTGTGTTCAAATAGGTGTTTTAACGCAATGCATAGCAACTGCGTGACCTAAATAATACACCTGTGAAAATTTACTGTCAAGATATTACAGGTAAAATTTTTGAACGCTTCTGCAATGTCTAATGGTGCTTTATGCTTAGCTGTAAGGAAAGTATTCTGCTTGCTTAAAGCCTAAATGATGATTTTATTCATCCATAAGAAAATATGTAAAAGACATTGTGTATAATCACTTAAAATATATTTAATTTGTATGTATATTTTTGATATTTATGTTATTTTAGCGTACATTTTGTACTGTTCCTGAGCTCATGATAGATGTATTCTGTGTACAATTTCTATGGTTTACGTTTTAAAATTCAGAATTAAAATGAAAACGCATTTAATGGCTGATTGAACTGCAGTGTCATGTTAAGGGTTATTGATTAGCTTATGGCCATACAGGTGTTTCCCTGCCATATAATTTGAGGGGTCACTTCACACACTGGTTCGTGCAAAGTCAGTTTTATTTAAAATAGAAATATGAACATTTCCCTATTTCTGATTGTTTATTAATAATATGAAGAAATGAAATCCCAATAAACAAAACTGATTAAATATCTATTTACATTACAATTCTGGTGAGTTTTGGGTGCTTATCAGTTTACTATTCAGGATATGCTCTGCAATAATACCCACAATAACAGTCCTCTTGGTTTCTGTGCCAGGTTTTTGAGACTTCTCAAGGATACTGTGTCTTGGACCTTGGACTCTGGTAACTTGCCATCACTAGAGATAAGCCAATCTTCAGAAAGAAGAAGACAGACCTCAGTTTGGCGGGAGCACTATGGTAGGACAATCACCCAGTTACTGCAGTTCTTTTGCTTGAATTGCCAGAACTTGAAACAAAACTGATTTTAGCTTTAAATGGTAAATGGTCTGTATTTGTATAGCGCTTTACTAGTCCCTAAGGACCCCAAAGCGCTTTACACATTCAGTCATCCACCCATTCACACACACACATTCACACACTGGTGATGGCAAGCTACATTGTAGCCACAGCCACCCTGGGGCGCACTGACAGAGGCGAGGCTGCCGGACACTGGCGCCACCGGGCCCTCTGACCACCACCAGTAGACAACGGGTGAAGTGTCTTGCCCAAGGACACAACGACTGAGACTGTCAGAGCCGTGTCTCGAACTGGCAACCTTCCGATTACAAGGCGAACTCCCAACTCTTGAGCTACGATCGCCCCCCTTTATGACATATTGACCTACAAGTAAACTGACTACAACTAAGGACAATAACGGAGTCTGAATATACCAAAGAAATGAATGTTGTTACTGGATAAGGAGCACTGCTCTAGAAGAGCAAAGGATCTGTGTATGATCTTTAAATAGACTGAACCGCCATAAAGCATATCACTTAATGTTTTATGGATTTTGTGCTGATATTGTACCTTTATTTTATTTTTTATTTTATTAACAGAGGTTGCGCTGCATATTCACACTTTTTAACGTGAAATGCAGTTTTCAATTCTACCTACCCACCCTTGGGTGTAGTGCAGGGGTTACAGAACTGTTGATAATTTATAACAGAGGCCCACAAGACAAAATCTGATCATCATTGTTGCAACATCTCTACAAATATCAGAGTCTGTGGAGCAAATTAAGTAAAAAGTCAACCTTTTGGTGAGAAGAAATGTTAAATATACTACTTAGAATAGGCTTGTTGTTATGGCTGGCTAGTTCAGGAAGTCCTGACATTACTATCCAGAGTTATAATTTTTTAATGTAGCCCTAGTAAAGAAAACACTTCACAGATATCACCGAGATATCACCAAGGTCTCTTGGATGTTTTGGATGGTCCAAATAAAACCTTTAATTTCTAACCCAATTTGAGTGTTCACTGTTTAAAAGACCTTGGGTAAGTCACATTTTCTTCCTTTCGTTTCTTTTTTTGTGCCCACACTTTCAATTTAGTTTAACTTTTGTAGTGCCAGTAAAACGACAAACATTTGGAGAGATTAAAAAAATCCTAAAAATACATCCATGCAGAAATAAAAATTAAAATGGGGAAAAAGGAGGATAAATGAATGAGTTCAATTAACTTGTTGAAATGTTTGTTTTGTTTTGTTTACATCTTCATTTATATATTTTTACCTTTTATTATAATAACTTGGGCGGTCCCAATCGCACTTGAAGTGATTTCGCAGTTTAAAGCAAGTAGACATCTGAAGATGATATATCTGATATATATGTTCTGACTGAAGTATTTCTAAAACAACTAAAATGAAAAGTAGTGGTTTTAACTGATGGATGCGAACTATTAATGAAAATTGAAAAACAGTTGAGGGCTTATAAAGTTTGTCTAGTTGGTGTATTGTGTAACGATGTGTTACCTGCTGTTTAAGTAGATAGCTGTGGTTGTATTAACACATCAGGATGAGGGTTAAATTGTTCTCAGTGATAGTCCATGTTGAGAGCATCTGATGGGCAGCGACAGATGCCATTGTATGGCGCAAATAAGACATGGAAAATTGACCAAACTTTACCAAAATGAACACCAGGTTTGTTATTAATATGCTGCTGTGTGGTTTTGATTGAAGTGCTAAAATAATCCAGGACAAAAGGGTTTTGTGGTATGCTGTGAGTTCTTAAAAACTGACCTTAAAGTGCAACACATAAATAGTGCTAATAAAAACTCTAGGGGCAGAATGGCAACTGAATCGTTTTTTTGGGGACTTGTGTCTGTGTAGATAACAAGGGACAAAGCACAGCAGCACGCTAAAAGATGAGCACCTCATCCAGCACAGACGAGGCCTGGACCTGGAAATGGAACATTGCTATAAATGTTGAAGCTCTCACTAGCCAGCCCTAGAAATACATGTTGGTTAAATAAATTATTATTCTAATATATTAATGTAATGCAACGCCAGTTAGCTGCTGTTTTTTGAGATTCTGTGTTGTTACCAATCACTAACCTGTGCCCCAGCAGGCAACAGCTGCAGCCCACTCAGAAATATGCCACTTTAAGAACCGTGACATTATATCATTTATGCCCTTCTGCATTTAGGAAATCTCTAGATTTATTTCTTGAGATATTCAGTTTTCTTTTAAATATATATGGCATTAGGTTATGTAAGTATATTTAACTGTTTATGCCATCCATACTAGAACAACATATGGCAACAAAGTTTCTCCCCTTATAATAATTCAGTAACTATTTAAAACAAAACTGCCGGCTGTGTCGAGTCACTATGAAGGAATTTAAGAAAAAGAAATGAAAAGGCTGAATCCACAGTGGGAGGTGAAGGGTTAAGATGAAAACTGACATACAGTTTTTGATGATAATAAATGTGATGCCTCAGCTTACTAACACAGAGCAAAAAAGTCTCAAAACATCTGCGTCCCCCTCTGTATTCCTGTTATTTGTAAAATTTCTGTATCACTGCACCTCTATTCAAATTCAAATTCAGTGTCTTGCAACAAAGTGTTGAATTTACTCAGCTGTAAACCTGCTGACTGGCTGCTTGCATGCTGTGAATGACATGCAGTGGAAGTTTCACACTAAATCCCTGTTGCAACGCTGAGCTGGCTTTATGCTGAAAATACTCAAAATCTGATAGAGCATGTGCTTCTCTGTGGACTCGCTAGGGCACAGAAGATCAAACAGGGTTAAAGATACTCTCTGGTGGTGACTGAATATTAGGCTTTAGTGCTGGACATTTTCACAGATCAAATGTAACTCTGGTAGTCCACAAACTGCACAGTCTTGACTTGTGGGGTCTTTTTTGGCTCCCTAATATATGTACCTGCACCAGACCTTAAAGTTTGGAGTCTAATTACGCTGGTCTTAAGCGTCCTCTCGACTTTATTGCTATGCAGAAGTCCGGGCCTTTGACCTGTAAAGGTATTTTGATCTGGGATTATGGTTGTGTGATGGAAGGATTAAGACCCAATTAACTGAAGGGCTGTGAATGATGTGAATGATGATGATGTTTGAGGACTTTTCTTTGCTTTCTTCAAAAGTGAAGCACCATTTCCTGTGTGAAGCATTCCAAAATTCTTGAGAATTATAGTCCATCAACAGCAGGATTTTCAACAGCTCATGTTTTTTTAGACACTCCACAAGCATTTGTTACATATTTGTCCATGTCGTATATATAGACATATATTTATATGTGAGTTTGAGTGTGTTTTGGGGGCATGGTAGTGTGTGTGTGTGTGTGTGTTTGTGCACAGCAAACTGCCCACTCTCTATGGCAGTGAAGTCAGTGGTTCATATTTTGGATGATATAAAGATTAGATATGCTCTAAATTCAAATAGCTTCACACCGCAATAATTCCACTCTTTGTGTGTCTTTGTATGTGCACACATTTGTGCGTGCGTGGGCCGTGCATCTGCACATATGTTTATGTCAGTATAATAATACGATTCTGCATTAAATTTCCCCTCTTACTGCGATTCTCAGACTTGGCTGTGACATTATTGTAAATCCTTCAGTAGCGATACAGTAGTACTACATCAGACTCAGCGAGCCGGCCTTCCTCCTTAGAGCCAAAACACCTCCGCCACTCACGCACACATTCAGGCAGAATTGGCATCTTTTATCCTCAACTGGCCTCTTTTTTCAGAGATTGAAATTTACTATTCAACATTCTTCCCCTTGTTAGAAAATAGAATATTGCTTTCTGCCACTGACAAAGTTGGCTGAATTAGAAAATATGCAACAACCTGACACCACCTTCTGTTGCAGAAAAGAGCCTCTTTTTCATTTTTTGATTGAATTATGTATAAAGATTTAGAAGACACTCCTTGGCCATGGTGGTGTTACTTTCCCCATATTACTTATTCAACATGTCTAACCTTAGGCCCCATTAGCGTTGCAGAAGTGGAGCTATTTCCTCAGCTCTTCATGTTCAAACACAAGACTAACATAGAAGCAGGAGCTGAAACCCCACAGTGAGTCACACAGTCACAGTGTCTTCCCTCTCTGCCTCCTGCTCTGCCCACCTTTGGCAAATTAAGGCAAGATTTCATAGCTTTAACCTACAGATAGCATGCACTGCCACAGGCAGTATGGTCCCAAGGTTTGCCATATTTGTCTACAGGATGTGACATTGTTCCTCTGCACGTCTTTGATCTGCTTTGTCTTTTTATGTAGGCTTGTCTCTGTGAATCAGCGACGGAGAATAGTGTGTTTATTTTTATGAAATGTGTAGTACTCCAGCCGTCACCTGGATGAGGTGATTTGTATGTACCTCCGATGCACATATCGAGTCTAATGCTTTGACTGTTCTGGTCATTTTATATCACGATCCCAAGCGTTGTGCAGCAATTGAATTTGGGCATTTTTTATTCCTTTGTGTCTGTCTTCCTTTGACATGTTGTCAACGTGGAAATTCACAGCACCCCGCCACTTTTCCTCAAGCAACCTCTTGATGTGCCACAGTGAGAGTCGTGTCATGAATAAACATGCTGATGTACAAAGGGATGAGTGTTGGTTAGAGATGAGATAGACAGTTTACATGTGTTTGAAAGGGAGGGCCTGCAGAGAGGAGAGTGACAGGGTCACGGAGCCCAAATGTTTAAAAAAAAAAGCTGCTTCCACTAACATCTTTTTCTTTTCTCTTTTTTTTTTCAGTGGTTAAAACATGCTTCTGTTGAAATTCTAGTTGTGGCTCCTGCTGTTGCTCTGCGATGAGTGAAATCCTGTTTGCAGCACTCCTTTTTTTTAAAAGTTAAAATATTTTTTCCAGAAGTCGGTGCTCTGAGTGGTAAAAACACGTTGAGTTCTCAGCATTGTCAGGAATGAGCAGCAGCACCTTCTTAAGTTTGGAAATAATC